GCCCCGCGGCCGGAGGGGAAGGGGGGGGGGGGGGGGGGGGGGGGGGGGGGGGGGGGGGGGGGGGGGGGGGGGAGGGGAAAACCCCCCGCCCCCCCCCCCCCCCCCGCCTCCACACACACACACACACACACCCGCGTCTCTCCTGTTGCCGCATTACTCGATGAAGGGGTTGCAGCTGCACAGAATGCCACGAAGGCCGAAGGAGGCCATACTGCCGAAGAGGAGACCAGCCACAAGGGCAGACACCATGAGGTTGGAAGCCTTGGGGAGGTTGCGCATGTCGGACACCTGCTGGGCGCCGAGCATCATCTGGACATTGGCCACGTAGCCGTTGGAGATGGCGAACACCAGGAGGATACCCCAGAAGACCCAGTCGTTGGCGAAAATCACCGGGACCGGAGACTCGATGGGCTGGCCGGTGGGATCATAGAGGACCACATTGCAGAAGAGGAAGAGCGGGATGAAGACCAGGCGCAGGAGGGACATCGGGAGCAGGGACTTGGCTGGGGCCACATAGAGGGTGGGCAGGAAGCGGCCGGTGATGTCGCCGATGTTGAAGACCAGGAAGCCAAACGAAACGAACAGGTCATTGAAAAGACGGCTGTCGCTCTCGGTGGAGGGGGCCGTGGCGGCGATGAACATCGGGAACAGGGAGAGGGTCAGGAAGAAGGTGAAGAAGACACCGACCGGCATGAACCAGATCTCGCGGAAGATGGCCATGTAGCCGGCCGGCTGGGCCGGCAGGGCCAGGCCATCCTCATCAACCGGATCCGTGGGGATGAGCGGGGCGGTGTCGCTGTCCGGGGCCACGTCGCTGCCGGTGCCGGTCAGCCGGGCGGCCTTCTCGGTGAAGTAGGTGAACAGGGCCATCCGGGGGAGGGTGGCGAAGGAGAAGATACAGGCGATCAGCAGGAAGACCGCCACCAGGAAGTACAGCAGAGCCGAGAGCTCGGCCGAACCGTCATCAGCCGAGCCGGCATTCGGATCGCTGATGAGCTGCGTCAGGAGCTGGCTAATGCTGACCACGATGCCGGCCACACCCTGGCCGATCATGATGGCCGAGGTGTACTTGCCGGGGAAGGAGGCAGTGATGGCGAAGATGCCGGACTGGAAGAAGGCACCCGAGCCGCCGCACACCACCACCAGCAGCAGGGTAATCACGAAGAAGAGGGTGGGATCCATCTCCACATAGACCAGGGCCGTCTGCACGACAAAGGCCCCGGCCATGGCCATGAGCGCGCCGAAGACCGACCCGCGGGGGGTCAGCCGCGAGACCAGCAGGGCCACCACCACGATGAGGATCATGTTGGACAGGTTGTAGGTGATGGAGAAGAAGTTGACGAAGTTGTCGGAGAAGGGCGACCCGGCGAAGCGCAGCCCATAGAAGGAGGTGGCGTTGACGAAGACATTCCAGGGGAAGAGCATGCCAATGCCCAGCAGCAGGAAGATGCCGTAGACGATGCCGCGCGGGTCGGCCGGCGGCTCGCCCAGCTGATCGGCCACCGTGGTCTTGGGCGCGGCCTTCAGGTCCAGGTCCTCGTCGGCGTAGGTGCCATACTTGGTGGAGTAGGTGGCGCCGCCGGTGCCGGACGTCGCCGCATACGGGTCATCGTGTGCCATGTGGTGGTGATGCTGCTGCTGGCCGTAGCCGGAGGTGTCGTAGTCGTTGCTGATGCCGTAGCTGGAATTCAGTGAATCGTAGGGGCTGGTCATGGTGAACTACCGCGTGGGGGG